GGGTTCCGTTGTCGGGTTCTTCTGCGCTACCGTCGGTCAGAGGTAGCGGCTCCGGGTCGTTCGATGGTTCAGGCTAGATTGTCTGGATCTAGGCAGATCGACTGTCGAGTAGGCGAGCTCGACCTTATGTTAAGACGACACCTTCGAGGGTCGTGGTAACGTTCAGGTGCAAGGGCCTAGCAGGCAGGAGAGGAGACTCGAGTTCAGGGGTGAAGGTGATAGATAACCAGGTCGAGCTGAGGACCATCCTCAGCTCTCCAGGGGTCCTAATATACATAGAAGCCATGCTGAAACGGTGCGTACTAGGGGAGGTAAGCCTGCTACCTACGGGACCGTAACAATGAGGCGCTGCCTCATGGTGTCCGCACCGTAGCTGTACTGTATCCGCGTGTAGTCCATCCACATCAGTAACATGAGGCGTAGGTGAGGCATAGGTGAGGTGCGATCAAAGTCCATGTCCGAGACGCCCGGACCGTTGTAACACTGAGCCTCTCCTATGACTGTGCGCTCACTCGGTCTATCGCGATAATTCATCTCTGGGAAGCGTAAATTCATAAAGAAGAGCACACTTCAAAACATGGATCCAGGAAACGTTCTGTACCTCCTGCGTGCAGCGGCGCACTCGGTTGATTACATGAATAGCGGCAGTATTCAAGCGGACTTCAAGCGTGTCGCTCGCCAGGTGAGTCGTCATGCCAAGATATTAGCGAGCTTATTGTGTCGCCATGGCTCATCCACTACTCAGGTCGAGCAGAGATGGGTCGACTTCTTCGCATTGTACAACACCGTGCAGGGAACCAACTACGACGTCAGCACGGCCTATCAGTAAGCACCATGCACTACAGCTAGTGATCGCAGTACTCGTATTGACCGCTCGTTCGTCAGGAAATGGCTTAAGGCACGTGTACTTGTTATCGATCTGAGCACTGTAGGAACTAAGTCGTAATCGCATTGCCGTCGTCCCTAGGGCATTCTGGGTACGCCTTCTCTCTCATTGATGTCATTTGCGTAGCTGACTGGCTTTGCCGCAGCCAACTACGGGCCTAACGCACAAAGCTTCTTTACCGACGCAGTGAACGTTCTGAGTGCCCAGCTAGCCGCAGCGGCGGCCCAAGGTCTCCCGGTCATGGTCGGAGTACCGAAGCAGGTTAGTGCGCGCGTACTTTAGAGGAGGTCCGCACACGCGTTAACAAGTTCTTGCGTTCACTTAGTGCTCTAGCACGAAAGTTCCTTTTACACAGAACGACCTCACCAACCTTCAGAACTCGCTCCCGGCCGGGATCACCTGGACGTACCCGTAGCAGGTTTCAATCGTTCGCAGGTTTCCTCAACATATCTACAGCGCCGTATCAAGGGAACGCAAGTGCTTCAGCGCGTCTGTTCATGCTAGAGAAAGCCACAATAGCATGTCATCACAAAACGAGAGTTTGTCGATGGTCAAGCATCATATTCTAATGTCTTGAGGCCATCGCCGCCAGAATGTCCTCTGTGTTCACTCCCGGGAAGATCTCAAAGTCAGCGTCGACCTCGCACAGCGTCCTGTTGTCATCCGGGAGCTGCGCATGGGTACCCACATCGGTCAGCTACATCTGCGCTGTGGGCCGCGCGAGAGGCTCTTCTAAACTCACCGTGCCATTCACCAAGTACGCGAACATGACCGCGTTGAGGCATTGAGACGGCTCGGAGACTGACGTGTGCTGCCGGACGCAGTACCGAATCAGCAAGGACACGAGATGGTGCTCTGGCAGTCGCAGCTCACCCCGAATGCGTGCTGCTGAACAAGCCTAGCGTTGTCCCCGAGAAGCGCCGTCACCGCCTCAGCTTCCGGAAGCGGCGTGATAGGATCGAACTGCACGAATGTGGTAAGCGGAGCTCGCCACAGACGAAGAAGGGAAAGCCCGCGCACCGTATTACTGACGACCATCACCTTGTTCGCGAGCGTCTTGTTGAACGGGCCCTGGTACCTCTCCACAGCACGCACGGGCCAAAATGGGCACGTGTAGAACTCCGCCGGCCACCCCACGCTGACTGCATCCCCCACTGTCAGACTCAGGCTACATAATGGCGCATAATGGAGCACTTACACATCTCCGAGGTATTGCGGGACGCGGCGATGATGATTTCGAACACTTCGGAAAAGCGCGTTCCGCGCAGGTCGACGCTGTCGCCGCAGAGCATCACTTGTGCAGAGTATGACTGTGTCTGGTTTTGCTGATTTGTGCCGTCTCTGCGGGCACTATTCGCGTATGCCATGAGATCCTGCTATGCAAAGAGACCCGAACAGAGATACGTACCGACCGCGAGCAGACCGAATACCGCGCCGAGCAGTGAGGGATCCGGGGCCGGACTCAGCCTGCGCGCCGGCGACGAGCATGGGCCACGTCGTGTTCGCGAAGATAGCCGCCTGCGCAGGGGCTATCATTACAGACAAAAGTCCCTCTGTGTAGTCCACTTCAGCACACCATTGTCTCATTACACTCTATGTGACGCGGAGCAGTTACCACGGATGCTCTCCGACGTCACGGGAACAGAGGCGTTCCTGCGTGCAGCGTCGTGCGCCTGCTTGAGGAGCGCCTGGATCGTCGCGTCGACATCTGCTGCAGTCTGTCCCTCGGCGGAGGCTATCGGACAGCCCTGCGGACCCGCGAGGGCGCAGCCGGTGAGGAAGACCTCGTACACCTTGTCAGCGTCTGCGAGCTCGTGGAACGCCCACACCTGTGAAAGCCGCGTTACGGTTAGTCTGACATGCTAGTGAGAGAACGAAAGGGATGTGGGCTTACGGCCGGTGTCTCTTGGGTAGCGAGCAGCGTTGGGTCAATAATCCCGTCGATGATGACTCGGCCCACGCGCTAGATAGCTCACCGCGCGTGAGTGGAGGACAGTGATTACGCAGACACTCCCATACCTCAGGAAACACTGTTGGCAGATATTTAGACTTCGACTTGTGAGGAAATCGTCAAGGGAGCACTCACTATTGATCAGCCACATGCCCAAGACGGAACCGTACGAAGCTCCGAGGAAGTTCACTGGACTACCGGGCCCATCGAGCGAGTCGGCGAGGGCGACGATGTCACGCGCCGTCGCTGCCGTTCCAAGATACCGCAGGAATTTCCCGCTCGGATGCTGCAAGCACCGCTGCGCAAGCTCGTCGTATTTTTCCTCCATAATCGGCGCCTGTGCGAGCAACGCCTGCACGTCATCTGGGTCGCTGAAGTTGCCGATCATCTCGATCCCGGCGATCTGGATGGTATCATTCCAGAACGTGTTGTATTCGTCGAGGCTATCGAAGCAGAATACCTCTCCTGGACTGGGCATGGACCCGTAATGAGCAGGCGTGAGACGCGACAGCTGCGGGCCAGGACTTACGTGGTAAGCGATCCGACTCCGCGCGGATCCCAGCTGACGATGTCGTAGAGCCCGCCTGATAGGCTGCTGAGGAGGCCGGCCAGTGTGTTGAGAGAATCCAAACCTGAGACACCAGGACCACCTGGATCGCAGATCTGTTAGTAAACGTCGGGACTGACAGCACGTGCGCGAACATACCAGGGTTGAAGAATAAGGTGCCGAGTCGATCGCCAGTCGCATTGAGTTTGGCGAGTGCGAGTCTGGCGTGGCCGACGGCGGGGTCGTGGTAGTCCAACGGTACCTCGAAGAAGCTGCAGGTCAAAGCAGGATTTGTGATCACGGATGGGTCGCACGGGCCCCATTCGATGGTTGACAATTTGGTGGCATTCGATGGTGGATCGCTAGCGAGCACACTGCCAATAATCTGCAAAGCAGCGAGGAGGGAGAGGATCAGCAGAGCCTCCATGACGAAGATGAACGACGGGGCAGTGAGGTCGACGCGGTACTCTATATGCTGCCATCATCAGAGGGGTCCCCTCCCCTGCACAGTCTACTGTGCCGCACGATGTGGACGGATGTCTCGTTTAGCGATCGGAGCGACGCCCGTGGTCACAAGTAGGCTGTGCCACTGATGTGCCGAGACTGCGAGACTGTCATTGGAGAGGACGAGAAAGCCGAGCGCGCAGTATAGACGTGACGGTGATGTGCTACGGCGCAGCTGGCATGTTGGAAGATGAATGGGATGACGGGATTTGCTGCTAAGCTCAGGTAGCACTGCGTGTGCCCCAGTCAACACAGCGAGGCGAGACACAGCTGTAGTAGGAGGATGAGCATTGTGGAGAAGAACTTGAAGACTCTTTCTCCGTGAGCGCTTCATCCGGAGAGAGACGGGGAGTATAGGCGCTCAAGAAGACCGTGACGCCGCCCTTCTTCTTCCTCCTTCCATGCTCTCTCCAGAATATCGCCTTTGCGCACTGATTCCACTCCAACATTCTGGTAGCTATTTCTTCCTAAACGTCTCGCAACTCGTTCAAGGTTCGGCAACAACAGTTGATGAGCTCAATAAGGCGCATTCCGCGCCCGCCGCCTGCGTAGCACGTCGGGATCCGGACATCCATCATCATGTCGCATGTGGGAGGGGATCCGGACGTCAATCTCTTAGCTCTCACCTTTCAACAGGGCCATACTTGGACGACGCAGCTCTCGGCGTAGCCATCTACGACGTCGTACACGCCACAGAGATCACCAAACATGGGCTCTACAACTCCACCATCGACTGCGCTTTAGAGGCCCTTACTCGAGCAGAGTGATGGACAACGCGTAGCCAGCTTGTGTGCGCCTCTATGCAGCCAGTGGGACGTTTCAGACTGGGACACATATGTGCAGCCGGGCTGCGCAATCGCAGCTAAAGAGCGATCACGACCTGTCAGGCAGATCGTGCATGCAGAGTGTCCCCCATGCATGTCTGCATTAGTGGAAATTTCCCGCACTGCTCGGCCTCACGTCGACATCCCACGTATTACGTACGGTCTCCAGCGTAGAGGGTACTTATACCGGCGACCGCACATGCAGGCCATATGTAAGGTGTGTCTCCTACACGAATCCAAGAGTCTTATATTTATCATCCATGCGCTTCCTCATAGCTGCAACGGTCTCTGCGGCGCTCTCTGCCAACGCGGTAGTTCTCATGAATAAAGATGCTACTTATCCGTCTCATCGCGCCAGATGCAGTTGACCAGCGTTCGCTCTCTGTAGCTCCAGAGACATAGTCTGCTTCGACAATGGCACAGACTGCAATGCACTCTGGAGCCGCATGATCGAGCTTGACGGCATCGAATGCACCGGGCATTTTACCCACCGAGCAAACATGAAAGCGTTGTTCGCTCAGGCGACGGTCATAGGATGGAGCTTGGGAAGCGCTGCCAGCAGCACACCATGGGCAAGTACATGAATACATCCGAACGACCACCACGATGCGCGACATGATCGCGCTCGCAGGTGCACTGGATGAGCCTGGGAGCCCGGTGAGCTACGCAGGCGTTTCATACAAGACCTTTCTGGACGCGTGGTTCGTGAATAGTGAGTGGCGCCATTGCCTTGCGCTTGTCTGGTGACTGACGTGTTGTCATCCAGCGTTCCTAACGTATGTGGAAGCGCGTGTGGAGTCGCGTCGACCTCACAAGACTGGCCGCATCTGCGCATCCAGCGTATCTGAGACCGGGTCCTACTTGACGATGTCCTCAGCCCGCAGCTCGTGGCTACTCAAGAGTCGCACAAGGTTCGTTACGCTCGTGCATCGCTCATCTCTACACTGACCTATATCTTGCCATAGATCTGGCCGCAGCTGCATTCGCACACTGACAAGGCATACGACGCGTTCGTCGCAGGATGCGACCATCAAGATGCTCCTCAAACAGGCACACGATGCTGCGCGCAAGAATGTGTTCGTTCCGGTGACGTCCGCAGACATCCGTAGTGAGTACATCGCTGGCTCCTCGGATTGTCGTCGTACTGAATCCATGTACGCGTGCTAGGCGCATTGCTGTCGGCAATGTATCTCCCGGTTACTTGGGCGAACCTCGCGAACACGACCTTCCCGGAGCCTTACACTGCTCGTCCGTTGGAAGGGCGGCAAGTGGAGGGATAAATACGCTGCGAAAGAACGTGTTTAGGATGCGACGAGGTTCCAATAAATAGAGGGGTACCTTTTGCATGCATGGATGAACTTTTTTCAGTAAACTATAGAATAGATGTTCATTCAGATGACTAGCTGGGCTTTCTGGATGATGCGGATTTTTAAAACCGGTGAGTGAGTTCCCCCGCCAGTTCCGATGCTCCGATACTTAGTAAATCATTTGGGGAATTTCGGGTCGCCTTCGCGTTAAGAGTTGTGTGCGACCTGAACTCCCAATCCACCCCGAGTTCTGTCACTCACTCACTCCCAGCCGCTGGCCTTCCCACGGATGCGGATGCGACGAGTCCGCTGCCACTCAACACGTCTCACTGCTGATCATCTGTGTATTCCAGTAGAACGCCTATTGCGCTGCGCAGTGCGCACGACTTCGTGCCGGCCCGAACGAGGCTCCCACTGAGTCTGTAATGCCGGCGCTGGACGGCTTTCCTGCGATTTCCTCAACGAACTCAGTAGTTTGATATCTCTTCTATATCACAAAAGAAAATCCACGCGACCATCTTTCTGCGCGGATGCGTCGGTGCGAAATGACTTGCGTCAGAGTCGGATATTCAAATTAATTAGACCATGGCTTGCCTCAGGCTCACAGCGGAAGGCTCGGACTGACACCGTGGTTCGACGACATCCGTCTACTACACTTTCGATAAGGACGCTTTTTTGCCACACCTTCGCTCGCGGCCTGAAACGTGCAAAGCAATATTAAACAGTATAAGCGAGTTCTGGTAGTACCGCTCGTCGGACGTAAGCTCTGCCTGAATATAGGCGCCTAAAATTCAAATCTGGAAGCATTTTGGCCGCGCGATGACAACAGCATCCCAAGCAGCGTACCACAAGCGACCACAAGACACATCAGAATCTCACATTGGACAGCCGCATTCATTATCTGAATCTGCTACGAATGTTTGCAAGTACAACACCAACGCACCTGGCAGCCCAGAAGCCTCCGCACGATCCCCGAGAGCGTCAGCGTTCAGGGAAGAATTCCCAAACGGCCGAGATACGATGATGGGCAATCCTAGACCTAGAAGACACCCAGGCTGCCGACATGCGCGTAGTAAGCATTCTTTCTCGTCCTTTAAACCTAGATGAGCCAAATTGAGGACTTGTGGATCGCTGTCGAAGACGATCTTACCAGTCATCGCATCGCTCGGACTCACTGGTACCAGGATCCTCAAGATCGGCAATGTAGCACAGGCTAGACGTCCATACTGTGGACGTATCAACGCCAACATGCCCTCAACATGGGGTACGCCAACATAAGAGTCCGTATGGTGAGATATCTCTTTATCTCCTTCGTATCCCATCGCAGCGAGCGTGTGCTTCCCGCTGCGCATGTCTCCTCGCTCGAGAAGAAATCCGCAACGGGTAAAAGACTTCCAATAAATGTGACGCATCGTTTACGATTTCCTCATCTATCTTACAGGCGGTGACAGGAACTGCTTCGGCCGCAGCGAGCCGGCAGCGGGTGCAGTCACCGTGCTTAACCTTCACTGCTACTATGAGAGGGAAAGTTTTATCCCATGCACGTAAGGTTTAGCATACGGCAACCATGTAAATGCCGAGGAAGGCTTAGGCGTGTGGATGGATGTCGATCGGATTGCGGTGGCTGAGAGAGGTGAAACCCTGTCACCTCCCTCACTCCTCGACCGTATCCCGCACTCGCCCTTCGTATCCAGTACTGTAACTTCCCGACCAAAGCGGCGGGTCACAGGTCACAACGACCCCCGCCGCCCCGCATTTGGGGGTCTGTCCCGCGTCACAGCGGCCTCCGCCGCTTTCGCCTGTGGTCCGGCGCCGGTCACGCCCCTAAATGGCATTTTTGGCGGCCCTGCGGGGCCGCGCGCCGCTTTTCGTACCGGATGGTCACGGTCACCACCGGTCGCGCCGCTTTTTGGGCAGCGCCGCTTCGTATCCGGGTGGTCACACCCCAAACCCTCCGCCGGATTGGTCGGGAAGTTACAGTACTCCGCACACCTATGTCTCTCTCTCTCACGACGGACATCATAGGGACGTAGGTACGCGCGATGCGGAGGATACGGAGGATGGCGCGGACTTGTAGCACCGTTGGCAGGGAGCGCGCAGAATACGGAGGACTCACCTGGTGGTCTGTGAGTACTCCGTCCTGGAGATACCCACACCCTCTTCTATGCGACATCGTGCCTCTGCGCTCAGCGAGTATGTAGGCATAAGCTGATCGTGCTTGTTGTTGACCTGAGTCTGGGGATCCGGCACATGGGAGGCAACGATCCGTCAAAAACCATCCGTGCCAGCGTTGTCAGCGATACAGCTTCTTGCGGGTCCCGACACAGTGTTCGCGTGCACGATGTAGTGGCAGCCGATATCTGGATATATGACCGAGTGGGCTGCGTGGATAAGGGTGGGTGAGAGCTCGGATCGCCCGATATCTTTCTGTCAGCGCGAGGTAGACCGCAGGAGGGTGGCGTTCCCGCTGGAATCCTCGATGAACTTAATCTTCTGCATCCGTGCGTCGCTGTCAGACCCTGAATATCAGCGTCTGGAGCACATATCACCTCCATGGGGTGCTCATCCCAACACCAACGAAATCAGTATACCTTCGATTCCAGTGGTTGGTCTTGGACGACACCAATTCTCTATGTCAGCCACCGAAACATGTTTCGATATATCGACATTTTGGGAGTCCTCTCATTACTAACTTTTGCATCGAATAGACGAATCACAAACAGGCTGCCTTGCGGCCTGGCGGGCTTGATAGGGTATCTAGAATCTCGTTATGATTTGTCGGCGAACCAGGGGAGCCCACCGAAGTGTTTGAATGCCACCCCGCACATGTGTGGATTGTCCAATGATGGCGGGTGAGAAGGTCCAGCTCCTCGGGGACGCTCACAAGTCCTCCGCTTCCTTTGCTGATGCATGTTTTCTCAATCCGTAATCGCGCGGGCGGAGAGTATGTCACGCGGGTCAAGCTGCGCTATCCGGATACGATGAGATGCGCCTTCTTTTGCAATGACTCCGCCCTGTGGGATCGGGAGGGTGGCCGGATGGAGTTATCCGATGCGCGCTGTCCCCCGTACTTAAATCTGCTGGTCTTTTTCACACCCTCACCGCCTCCCTCAGACCCCCCCCCCCTCTGCCTTACTCACACAAACAATGAATATCAACCAACAGAGCATCGACGACTCGGATACATTCGACAGGCCGACCCTCGACAATACGAGCGACAGTCTCGAACCCACAGCTGTGCCACAACAAAGTTCAGGCTACACCTCGAACGTCAACGTCTACGGCTTCCCGGGATCGACGTGCCACAGCGTGCCAGTGTCTGACATCCGCGCGCACGATGTCCAGGTATGACGTTCCTCGCCTAGCATCATGATGTCTGTTTGACTTACTGGTCGTATTCAGTACCGGAACCATGCTGGGGAGCAGAAGACGGCGAGTACCACACGGGGACGCCATACTGCACTCTGACCTTGAGTCTGACAGACTGCCGGTGTCCTGCCATTCCAAGAGTCGCAACCCATTGCCCGTCTACCCGAGAGCGTGTACGATTCCGGGACCCACTCCCCTGCACGACACGACGGCCACATGGCGTTGCACAAGGACGACGCCGATAACAGTTTGATGGTGATTCCCCAGAAACTATACCGCCTCCCTCGTCATCAACGCGGCGGCGCACTAGCGCTGCAATCCATCTCGATCTACGTCGCCGTGCGGGATGCACTGCAGCCGAAGGTTCTTGCGCGGAAGTTAGTGGACCCCTTGCGTCATGCCTTCCACCACGCCGGCGGCGGAAAATCCCGGGAAGGACAAAAGTTTACTATCCGCTGCGTCGTGAGTGCTCCGCGGGCCCTGTGGGCGTCCGAGTGCTCGAGCTAATACTGCGCTGCAGTTTCGACTTGACGGAGACGCAGAGGTAGTGAACGCGCGTCCCGTTCAGATCAACGAGTATATGGCTGGCTCCCAATCCTCCCTCGCGGTAGAGGCAGCGTGGGATCTGTACCCGATGTTACGGAAGGCTTCCGGGCGCGTTCCTCTCATGCGTGTCGCGCTTGTAGAGAAAGTCGCGACCGAACTGCGCGCATTTTTGGTGCGCATCTCGTGTTACGTTCGCGCACACCGCTAATGTCGTTATGTAACAGATCAAGCTGAAGGAGCAGAATAAGCCGCTCGTCTTCCGTGGGCGCGAAGTCGAGTACGACCACCTGCTCATCGTCAGCATCTCCCGACCCACCGCCGCCACCGTGCAGCCGAAGCTCGCAATCCTCCCCCGGTACCGGAACCTATATCTCGGTAACGCGCGCGATGTGTCCCCATAGATGGCGGTCGCGACACCGGTCGCCGTCGTGTTCCCCGCTCAATAACCTCGACCTCGCGCCCACGAACTGACACTCAACGATCACGCGCGCTGCACCGCCCCCTCGCGCCAATTCTCCACCCCCGCAATGTCTCTGTCCGTCTTCTATCGCCCTCGGAACTCAACCCGACCTTCATGTCTGATGGAATACCTTGACTTGGCGCTGGCGCGAGCGCGAGCGCGACCGGCTTAGCGCGATTTCATCGACGTCACCCTCACGGCCACCGCCGGCCGCGCGCTCCCCAGCAGAACCTACGAGCACGCCGACTGTCGCGAGGAGATTAGAAGGTTCCCAGCAGTGCAGTAGTCTGTACCTCAAGGGCATTAATTGCTATCTTCGCGGCCTTCGACGAAGTGATGTAGCAGGTTCCGGCAACGTACCATGACTCTTCTTTTTTACTCCCGTGACGGCCTCTTTCTTCCTCTATGGCTCTTTTACGCTCGTCAATACCTCCCTCTAGGCGACGCATTAGGATTTTTAGCGTGCTGTACGACGTCCCATGTACATCGTTTACGCAGGCGCTCTTCTGCCAGGTGGTAAAGTTACTCGCATCTCATGGCGCGGGCTTGCACGGTACGATAGCGCCCTGGACCTCTACACCTGCTGCTCGTCTTATGCATAACTTTTTTGCTGAAGTGGTCAGCTGTATTTCTCACCAAACTCTCCAGTCAGGCCTTCGCCAGCCGCAACGCACAGAGGGCCGCAGCCGACTTAGAAGACGCCTCGACCATATGTATTGCATAAGAAGTATTCGAGTGATAGATTTACCATAACAGACTGCGCACGCGAAGATTGTATGTGCAAGCAAGTAGCAGTGAGTGCCAGTGGAAGTGGCAGAGCGACATCGATGATCCCGGCGGGCAGTGAGTGGCGCCGCAACGTGGCACTCCCTCCCGCGATGGTTACTGTCGGAGTTAAATAATAAGCGCCAACGTAAATGACACAGTTCACAACATGAACATAGTCGTAAATATCCTCGCAAACACGCCAGCCCGGCCTTACGAACTGCAAACGCACATCCGACAATCACTCGATGCTCTCTCGAATTCTCTCGTACAGAGCGGGGATGGCTGGCAAAGCATTGTCTGTCGCAGTACGGTCCGCCGCAGTGGCACCACGATGACGACCAAGTGCATCCTGCACCAAACCAGCACCTGTCAGTACGCACTCTCCACTCGGGGGATACTTAAGAGACGATATGAACCTCTGATCCTGCGTATCCTCCCTCAACTCTCTGATCTTGCCATCGAAGACGCCAGCGGCCCTACCGAATGCTAAGGGATCCGAGCAGTCCCCGCCAAACCTGAGGCCGCGTCCACTACTCAGGAAGCTCAAGCGTGAGTATAGATCGATGATACGGTGCTAGAGGTAAGCACCTTCCACAGTATACGGTGTTGCATACAAGTTCTTGCCGCGTCGCACTCGGCGCTTCATCGGCGAGCGCTCCGCAGCTTGAAATACGACGATCGCTGCGCTGGAACAGCAAGCCGTGAGGCATATCTCTTGTCCCTCGTTCTGAGGGTCAGGCGTACGACCGTCAAGCGCAAGGTTCACTATGTGGCCCGGTAGCAGATGCCGTCAGTGGCTTGCCGACCGTCTGCTAGGTGTGCACCTACCAATCAGGGCGTGCGTGGATGGAAATATTTCCCTTATTTGCCTATATTCGCAGACACGCTCGTCAGACGCGACAAGCGCGCCCCACATATTTGCCATGCCCCGACGTAAGGATGCATGGGCATCGGCGCGAAGCACGAGTTATCGGGCTTCTCTGTTGCCGCAATCCGTCAGCTCATCGATGGCGGCCCTCACCGGCACACGTACCTCATACCCGCGGCGATCATGTTGACTGCAAGGTCGCACAAAGTGCAGTATGAGGTATGCGTGGCGGGATCATGGGCGTAAACAGAGAGAAGGGAGCGGGGGTTAGGAGCTAGGGAGGGTCGCGGTTTGGGGAAAGATGCTTTGGACCCGAGACTCGCCTCGATTCGCTGGCTCATTTCCTCCGCACGTCTCCCCGCTCGTGTAGCGCATAGGCTTCTGGATATCGGGTTGTTGGATAGACCGTGTTCGAACGGCCGGTGCGGGAGGAATGGGTCTTGCAGTGAGAGTCCGCGGCCTAGCAACAGTGACAGGCGACGCATGACGATATATGTTCGCGATATACGAGCGGCGTGTTCTCGTTCATGAGCGCACCCTGTGATATCCCAGCGCGTGGGGTGAGTGGGCTTCTGTGGATTGCAGCACGCAAGTCCTGGACAGCTGGATAACACGAGGGCTGTGACGGGAAGAGCGAAATACCACCCGGGATGAAGGAGCGGGCAAGAGAGAAGGTGGCAATGGGTCCGTGCACCGTGCGCCCCTCTGGTCGCTTGTTGTGGGCATGAGGCGATCTCCCACCGCATCTGCTTCCCTGCCGCGCGGCCTCATTGAAACTCGAGTCCGGCCGCAGTCTGCCCAGATCTACCTCGGATCCCCATTCCGTCGCGCCGCATACCTGCTTCACTCTCCTCCTAGTCCTCATCTCCGACTCTGGCCAGTCTCGCGATATCCGGACACACTGGATATCGATGGTTCCGCAACTGGAGGGCAGCTTCTCATTTACACCACTGGAAGCAGGTTCTCGCTGCAGCCCTCGCCGCCGAATATGACATGCAACTCCAGTTCATCTTATGCACCAGCCAGGCTCACGATCCAGCGGATATCTACCTATCGGCAAGACCGATCCATCAGTGAAAGTTAGGACTACTGGACAACTCTGTGCATGCCCGTATATCCCCTGCGCGAAGTCGGTGTGCGCACGAGATATCTCAGCGACGTCAATTCCACTTTGGCTCTAAGGTGCCGATACACTCCAACGGTTTTCACGCCCCTCGTGCCCCTTCTAGAATGTGGACGTTGGGTTATCCCGACACTGGTGGATCGCAGGCAGGATATCGAGCTACACTCCTCCGTGGACGCCGACAAGAGCATGTGTATCGATATCCCTCTGGCTATCCTGCAACGACTAGCAGAAGGCGCAAGGGCCGTGTTTCTATATAACTCTGTCCGCCTTTCTCGAAATCAAGCACTCCTGTCCCTCCACATACTAGCACCACACGCCTCCATTGCCTAATCCTCCCCGCATACGAACATGAGCTACGACTATGAGGTGCGCTATCGTGCAATTCTACATCGGAATATACGCGTCTAACCTGTGACTCGCTCGTTCTTCCTGATAGTCATGGCCCCCCGGTCTTTCCGGCGAAGATGGCGAAATTGGTCTTGATCGGACCCTCGACTACGACGCATACTACGGCCCTGGTAGCGCCGCACCGATGTATGAAAGATCCCAAGACTCGGGCTGGGTCCCTTCCGCCGGTGGCTCTTCTTGTAGTGGGTTCAGCGGATACATGAACGACGGGGTAAGTCGCAAAACAACCGCATCTCCTATCAAGTTCTCACTTGTCCCCCATGCAGTGCTACATAGGCCCGGACCCTCAACCTACCGCACAGCCATGGCTTGGCCAAGTGATCACAACTGAGCCGCTGCAGGTAATCCTTGAATGTGGACATCGGTGAGTTCTGTCATCTGATCCGCCATTTCTAGGACCACGGTTTTTGGGGCGTCCATCCGGAGAACACTGCGTTCGATATCGGGAACATAATGTACGCGGCAGGACGTCTCTCTGACCCTCCGATGGTACGTGAAACTTTTATTATGTACAGATTGCGTAGTGAACATATATGTCCAGGATTTGCCTCCGCGTCATGAGCATGTTCAAGCAGTCTCGCCGGACAAGTTCCAATCCTTCTCGCAATCCCCTCCATTGCATTCGTCCTCTGTACGAACACCGTCTTACGATGTTCCACCGATACCCCCTCCTCCGTCTCGGCAACAACATGCACACGGAAACCCGTACATTCCGGGACGCAAGCTGCCACAGTCGGAGGACCCCTTAAACGAGAACACCCCAGAGCAATCTATGTCCGCCTCAGTGTTTCACGAATTCAACAACAGCCAGTGGGTCGTGCGCCAGCGTCTCTATCGTGGCAATAGCGGTGGTAGTATCCCGACGGCCAACACGGAATTTCCTGTCATGCTCGTAAACGTGTCCGCAAAGGATGCGTTGGACCCTATCACTCTTGCGAATGTTCTGCCGAAGCCCTTGGATCCCGCCTTTCGGAAAAACCAAGACAGGAAGGGAAAAAAGTGGACGTGTCGTTACGCGGTGAGTCGCTATTCTCAACGCGCTCAGTGCCGTGAAGGCTCAACGTATCGCAGTTTGTCGACAGTCCGCCAAACAATGCTTCACAGCACCACGAATACGCTGCTGGAGACCAACACTCACAAACAGTCTCTGTCGCAAGGAGCCTGTTTGGCGATTCATCCCGTTCGTCAGCTATTTCGGTACCCCTCAAGCGTGCCACAGTTGTAGAGAAGGTCGCACACGGACTGTACACATTCATGGTGAGCCGGATTACCCTCTCTGCCATGTGCACCGCTCATATTCATATGCAATTTACGTTTTAGGGGACGCTGAAAGCCCAGAACAGGCCTCTAAAGTTCAATGGTCTCGACGTCGACTACAACCACCTCCGAATCGTGAACATCTTCAGGCCCACTGTCGCCTCCATGCAGCCGACGCTCGAGATACTCGACGAGTTCCGTCACCTATACACGCGCACCGCTTGCGCTTCATATGCCACACCCTAGATTCCCTTGCTTCATTTTTTCTGCATACCTCGCATGTCGTTCCTCGTCGCTTATATACATACGTATTCTATCTACACACGCGGTTCAAACTTCGATGATGTTGACGTACTCGCTTAACACCCACTAGAAATGTACTTATATCGATCCCCCGATAATCATGACCTGTCTCCCATCTCCACATACTCACCGCCTAACGAAGCTCATACGCGCGCCCACGCCTCTTGCTTGACTATGGCTTTTTGTGGGCGTTGTGATCGCTGGTTCGGCAGCGAGCACGCCCTAGAGCAGCACAAGGACGACTCGAATATGCATCACATCTGCTACGAGTGCGACAAGGACTTCGTATCCGCGAAGGCTCTCGAGCAGCACGAAATTCAAAGCCCGCGCCATCCCTCTTGCGAGCGCTGCCGCGTGCTGTTTGACGACTGGGACGACCTGTATGAGCATTACGATGATGAGCATCACTACTGCGACATCTGCAACAGGGTACGTGTAACCATTCCTGAGGCACTTGCACATTCGCCAACAAACCTCTTTGAAGCTCTTCGATTCGAGCCGCGGTCTCCACAATCATCGTCGCGAGGAGCACGACGATCGCTACTGCCCGCCCTGCAAGCGCATGTTCAAAGACGCGAACAGTCTCGACAACCACTGCCGCTCCTCCATCCACCAGGGCCGGAACATCGACTGCCCAATGCGCGGCTGCGAAAAGTCCTTCGTGTCCAACGCGGGCCTCCTCCTCCACCTCGAGTCCGGCGCGTGCGTCTCACGCATGACGCGCGCGAAGATCGACCGCATCATGGCCAAGTACGACCGCGACAACATCATCACGAACCCCTCGCGCCTGATCCGGGGCTCCGGTCCTGTCGTCGTCGACCAGTGGGCGACCGAGCGCGCGTGGAACGGCTCGCGCTACGAGTGCTACCTATGCCACCGTACGTATGCGACACTCCCCGCGCTCAACCAGCATCTCCGCAGCGCCGCGCACGCCGACAAGATCTATCGCTGCCCGCGTGCGCTTTACGGATGCGGTGCGGAGTTCGGCACGCTGAGCGCGTTCTGCCAGCACGTCGAGAGCGAGCGGTGCGGGGTGCGGCGGTTCCGCGGCGAGGTCGACCGGGTTCTGGAGGGTTTGTCGAGCAAGATGAAGCGGCTGACGATGGGTTGAAGCCTTCGGCGAGGAGCGTTTGTTCTATTTAGGCGGAGAGACGGAGATCGTGAGGTAGCGAAGTTGGCCAGCATCTTGGGATTTATCGAGGAACTCTTGCTTCAAACAGCCTGCAGGTCGAGGCTGGCTGCTTGTATTTCACTATGATCACGCCCTTCCCGAGTAGACGTCGAACCTGAAGAGTAGAACGATTATGAGGTTAGCATGAACGATGTCACGGTTCCCCGCTTGTCTACCTTCTCGAGGATGTTGAATCAGCAGCGCTTGCACACTGGCAGAGCCGCGCACGCAGACAAGCCCTACTACCTCTCACACACACCATATCAGCGTAGCGAGAGGCTCAGTATGCTAAGAGCGTCCTGCTAGCACCTCGAGGGTGGACTAAGACGATTCCGTAGCCCAATGGATCAGGATGGTATCAAGAGATGAAGAGGCTTACGATGGGTTAGGAGCTTCGCACGATATCGACGTTGTTGATCCACGGTGCACAGTGGGCGATCAGCAGAAGCACCTTCGTTGCGATTTAGGACTCCGGCAAGGTTCGCGATAGACGCATCTGGGAGATCAGGTGCTATCTTCATTCATCTCCTGCACTGGGTGGGTCTACCCAGCCGGCATTCATATGATGTCTGCGGAGATTAAGCGGCATCAAGCGTATACAAGGCATTCTGAGTCGAATATCCTGTGTGTGGACAAAGGATGTGAGAAGAAAGCTGGCCCGGACGGAACGCAGTCTCGCATATGCACAAGGGACGTACGCATGCGACACGGTTTGAAGGCAAATTTGGGAAAGAACTCACCAAATTCGCCTTCGTTCGCTCCGATCATGCACCAGGGTCCAGCATTGATGCGTTTACCTCTTGATTTACTCGTCGCGGGGATGCTCAGGATTCATGGGCCACCATATCGTCGTCGCGCAATATTAATGCCATAGCATCCCTTCCGCAGCTAGAAGCCGCATAGACGCGCATAGATCTGTCCGCGCGTCGAGCTCCGTGGGGACTATGTAGTAGGTGTCCTCGGGCAGGATCTGTAGAGCCATCGCGAATATTCTGCATCAGACTTCAAGTCAGCGGCAATAGCGAAATGTTGGAAAACTACTTACTACGTCTCCTCGATGACCAATAATAAAGCTTGCACTTCGCGAAGTGACAAGAACAGAAGCGCGTCATCCCGATGCCCACCAGTGCGACGACAGCTTGTGCTTTGCGACATCGCAAGAGTCAACTTTTAAGGGCACCCACAAGGCCTCACCTTTCATTATGGGCCGCCGTAATTCGCAGTACGGGTAGTGCTTCACAAATGAACGTGTTACATGACAACAATTGCCAGGAGACAAGGAGGACGACAACACAAACGAATGCGCAACGACGTTGGAGGCAGGGACAATTAATACGGGCGCTTCAACAATACTTAATGTATGTACTCGCCCAAAGCAGCACAGCCACGTGGAAGCCACGCGCTCTCCCGGGTGGCGCAACAACGATCGGCGCTGATCAGAGCGGCTCTCGGCCATCTACCGCCACCTTCGCTCTTTCATCTCCCCTCCATGTTCTTGCACTACTTTTAACGTCCTTTCGTCTACGAGGATGTTCCATGTCCATCCGGAAACAACTCGAGCTGCGTACAGAGTAGTAGAACTGTCTAGGACATTCTAAGACATTCTACGCTGACCTAGAAGGGCTGAGTCAATCTGACTCAGCAAAGCTGGTGGGGGCGTATATAAGTGTGCCAGAATTCGTGAGTTTATTCTTCCTCTCTTTCCACTAAACCACCACCACCCCCGTAACACCATAACGGCGCCAAGCAGCTCTTCGCTACCACCCCGCTCCGCGTGTTATAGCAAATCACGAATCATTCCATTGTATAGAGATGGCCGAATGTATCAGGTGCAGTCGCACTTTCAGCGACGCAAACGACTTATTGTTCCATGCTCTCGTGTCCGACAATCATCACCGCTGCCGCGACTGCGACGAGGACTACACCACGAAGGCCGAGCTCCGGCAGCACTTCGTGGATAGCCCCAAGCATTTCTACTGCTTCCGGTGCAACCTCCATCTCGCGACGCAGATTGCGTTGGTCAAGCACAATGGCTGGACTCACCGGCGTCGCCCGCGCGTCGTTGCCCACTCCGGGTCCACATCCCCCACATCCACTCTGTCCGTGTCATCCACTATATCTACTTTATCCGTCTCATCCTCACCCGAGGCCAAAGAACAGGAGAAAACGAAGTTCACCGACCGCTACTGCGTGCCGTGCAAGAGGGCGTTCATGAGCCCAGGCAACCTCCGAAGCCACCAGCGGTCGCACATCCACCAAGGGCGACGCATCCCGTGCCCGTTCTCAGGGTGCGGGAAGCGCTTCGTCTCGACGGCTGCCGTGTTCATCCACCTCGAGTCCGGCACCTGCGCATCAGGCATGACGCTCGACAAGCTCGTCCGGCTTGTTGCCCGCGTCGACCACGAGCACATCCTTACCATCCCCGACCGACTTGCCAACGTCACCACCAACGCCAACATTCACACCAACACTAACAAACCGTTCCCCTCGTCGTCGACAACAGGTGTCAGTATGAGAGGTAGAGTGAGGTACGTCCGAGACGGCGCGCTTTACAGGTGCAGCGCATGCGGCAAGGCCTTCAGGACGTACCTCGCGTTCACCAGACACGCCGGGAGCGCAGCGCACGCTGCGCAGGTCTTCCGGTGCCCGCTCGCTCACGGCTGCGGTGCGGAGTTCCGTACGTTCAGCGGGCTCTGCCAGCATGTCGAGAGCGAGCGGTGCCGGGTGCGCGGTCTCAGGGATATGGTCGACAAGGTCATAAGGTCGGTTCTGAACAAAGTTAAGGGGATGACGGCGCGGTGAGTATTGGGTAGGCGTAAGGCGAGACCGCTACGTGACGAAGGATTCATGAGTCATTGTACGTTTGCAGGTGAAGTTTTGACGGTCTTCTTTCTCTCCAATTTTTCGGGCTGGTCCCGACAACATACCTATTCATGACGGACTCTTCTATGCGCTCTTATTCTTCATTCTCACCCCCATCTATACGTGAATTAAGGTCGTGACATAAAATTGATGCGTCTCATTGTGCAGGCTTACCGTTTCTCTTCGTCTTACAACCTTCCCCACAGGAGTCTTACGGTCAGGTAGAGATAAGTGAGAGCGAGAGACCCAGTTTTCCGATGTTCAGTCGTCGTCGAGGAGCCCCAATGTCGGGCTGTATCTAGATGGTATCTGGATGTGCTTATGTAATACAGGCAAACACTCCATCTTCGTGAGCTAGAGTCCATTGACGACTGGTTGAGAGGGCTTCACAGTTATGTGCGCTGTGTTGTATGTGCCCCAGAGACTAGCAAAAGGTGTACATTTTGGAAAGCCCAGCATAAACACGAGGGGTAGCGTCTTGCTAGATCTATATCGGGACCCGTGCAGCCGCGCTGCACGAGTCCAAATCCGGAAGTGAAAGGTAAGCGCCCGTATGCTACCGACGCTGAAGTTTACGGGCCAGCACGATAATACTCTTCGACACTTTCACTCGCTGCAATCACTTCGTTCTTTATACTACCACTCTCATTAAGTCTTTCTTTGCGCTACTAGAACTTCTGTGGTCTTGCATGGTATCTGCGCGCGCTCGCCGGCGCACCGATAACAGGTCAGTCAGCCCACGCTCGAGTTATGTCACAGCAGCTTGCCATGTTCTGACTTGGACTGCCGAGCAGGTCTACCAGAAACAAGAAGTCTCTTGAGGATGGACAAGAATACCGCGCAAGACTGCGTGCCTTAGACCGTGATGAGCACGCCGCTCAATCGTCCAGTCCGCGGCGTCATCGTTCACCAGCACGAGACTCCATGGCCGAGTCCAATAAGGAGAACAGCATCGAAGAACGAGGATTCTCGCCATCGTCAGTGAGTAATACACACCTTCTCGCAGCTCTCAAATTCATTGTAATGCTTACTCCAGCCTGCGTCAAACTCGCAGAGACAAGTAGCACATGATGCTACATCTGGAACTTCGAGCAGGCAAAGAACGCCGGTACGTCTACATACGATGCAGCCTCCTCAAGCAGGGATACTTATGTTCGTCCTCTAGCAGCTCTCTTCTTCGGGCCTCGAGTCATGGCAGACACAAGGCCTAACTAGACGGCAAATCAGTCAGCGTGCTCGACGTCTACGCGAAAAAGAGCAGCGCGCACGGATGGTATGCTCATAGTAAATGTTCCGCTTGCCCGGTAACTCAATCACCATCTCAGACTGCGCATGAATCTGAGAAGCGGACCACTCATTCAAAGGAGGCCATTCGACGTAGTCGGAAACTTCGAGACCGTCATTGTGAATCTGGTGAGTTACTTGCCATAGCTCTACATACGGCGCTGACACATTGTGGTCGTTGCATGTTCCATCGGCTTAGCCTCTCGCGCCTCTGATCCCGCACCAGTGGCACATGCTGATGAAGCAGACTCACAAGGTACGTTTCCTTCACTCAGCATCTGTTTCTGCGCTAATCTGCCTTTTTAGTACCCCCTGCACGTCGCACATACGTGGAACGCTCCGTCCAGCTGCACACGCTCGGACGGATGGACGTCGAATGCTCCATCTGCGGCGCACTGCATTGGCTGGATGAGCGTCTGAGCAAGTCTACTGCAACAAGCCCACGTTTTGGTTTCTGCTGCGACAGCGGGCGTGTGCTCCTCCCCGCTCTCCCTCCTCCACCGCCACTCCTACGTCAGCTCCTCTCCGGCAACGATTCAGCAGCTCGCGAGTTTCGGACACATATCCGTCAGTACAACGCTGCATTGTCTTTCGTCTCCCTCGGTGTCAGGGTCCAGGAGTCAATCAATGACGGGCGTGGCCCATATGTCTTCCGTATACACGGTGAGCTTCATCATTTGATGGGCTCCCTTCTTCCCGTCCCCGGTGTTACCCCGTCGTACGCCCAGCTGTATGTTTACGACCCGGACGAAGCACTGCAAGTCCGCGTCCATCGGAATCCGAACCTTTCTGCCGACATTCTCACATCTCTCGAGTCCTTGCTGCGTGTCCATCACCGCTATGCCGCCGTCTATCAGCACGCCCATGAGATTCTTACCAGGGAAGAGAGCGATGATGCTCTACTTTGTCTGCGCTTTGATCCCGCAACAGATCGACGCCGATACAACCTCCCCACAGTTGAAGAACTTGCTCTCATCATTCCGGGAACAGGGGAGGAGATTCACCACTCTCGCGACATCGTGCTTCGCAAACGATCTGGGCTTCTCGAGCGCATCAGCGACTGTCATCCGGCGTATGCATGCCTTCACTATGTCCTCCTCTTCCCATCAGGCACCCATGGGTGGCATTCAAACATCCCCATGCGGGCCGTGTCCTCTCTGTCTAGACCTTCAGATGACGGTGAAGTAGCGGCGTCTGAGTCCTTGGATGATGCCCGTTCGTCGAGTGTTACGCAGACCCGCTACTATGCCTATCAGCTCCACACACGTTCCGACGGTTTCTCTGTTCTACATCGAGGTGGATGGCTCTTCCAGCAGTACATCGTGGACATGTGGGCATCCGCTGAGCAGAGTCGGATCAACTACATCCGGTCCAACCAGAAGACCATCCGTGCAGCCCTGTACTCGGGGCTACAGGATCTGAACGTCGACTCGGATTGTAATGGTGTTGACCTCAATCAGCTCGGACAACGCATCATCCTTCCGTCCTCATTCCAAGGTGGAGCACGTCACTGGTATGAACAGTGTCAGGACGCGCTTGCCATCTGCCGGGAAGAACGCTCTATTGACCTCTTCCTCACCGTCACCTGCAACCCCGACTGGCCGGAAATCCAAGCGGAGCTTCTTCCTGGGCAGACCACCGCAGATCGACCGGACTTGGTTGCGCGGGTCTTTCATCTGAAACAGAAGGCGATACTGCACGACATAACCAAGCGGGGAGTCCTGGGCCCGGTCGCTGCCTACGTTTACTCAAACGAGTGGCAGAAGAGGAGTCTCCCACACTTCCATGCTCTGTTCATGATGCGTCCCCCCTACAAGCTTCACGACACGGCCGCTATCGACGCCTGCATCCGCGCTTACTGGCCTGATCCTATCAAGGAGCCTCTTCTCTTCAACCTGGTGCAGCGCTTCATGGTGCATGGTCCTTGCGGGACGTTGAACTCCAGCGCTCCCTGCATGGTCAACGGCAAGTGCTCGAAGCACTTCCCGCGCCCCTTTCAGCCCTACACCACGATGGACGACGATGGGTACCCTCTCTACCGTCGGCCCGATGATGGACGGACGTATGAGAAGCATGGCGTCTTCTTCGACAACCGCTGGATTGTGCCATACAATCCCTACCTCCTTGCGAAGTACCAGTGCCACATGAATCTCGAGTGTGCGACATCTTTTGCGACCGTCAAGTATATCAACAAGTACATCCATAAAGGCTCCGACCGCACAACTCTGGAGATACAGTTGCAAGACGAGCCAAAGATGTATCTCAACTCCAGGTACATATGTGCTCCTGAGGGGGTAGCACGTATCTTGCATCACGAACTTCACGGCCGGTCACCCAATGTGGTGCGTCTTCAGGTACGCTGAGTATGCAGATGTCTCAGGGCAGGGTCAACATGTGATAGCTTACTCAAATGCGCTAACAGGTCCATCTACCTGGAGAGGAGTTCGTTACGTTCGATCCGGGATCGGATACTCTTCCGGAGGTTCTCGAACGAGCAAGAAATCGGCATACGACTCTTACAGCATTCTTTGAAGCGAACCGCGACACCGGCCCCCTTGGCGACACGGCGCGGCGGTATGCATACCAGGACTTCCCTAAAGTCATGGTGTGGAAGCTGAAGGAGAAGCGCTGGGCGGTCCGTCAGCGTGGGTCCCCCGCAGTTGGCCGTCTCTATACGGTTCCTCCCACTGCAGGCGACCGCTTCTATCTGCGGCGGCTCCTCACGTTCCTGAAGGGTATGTGTGTCTCTGAAAATCTTGCCACACCGTGCTAAAATCACACTGTGAGCAGGTGCAACATCGTTCGAGGACCTCCGGACATTCAACGGGACTCTCTATGCGGACTTCAAGAGTGCCTGCCTGGCGCGTGGGTTGCTCGAAGACGATAGTGAATGGCATCAGTGCCTTTCTGAGGCTTCTGTCATGCAGACCGGGTCCCGTCTTCGCCGTCTCTTTGCAGTCATCCTGACGACCTGTGAACCGTCTCGACCTTTACACCTCTGGGACCAGTTCAAGGACCCGATCTGCGACGACCTCCCATTCCGATTGCGCACACTCGGCATCTCCCACACGTCTGCTGATGTCCACGATTATGGTCTGTTTCTTCTGGATGGCATCCTGCACGAGACCGGCCACTCCTTGGCCGACTTTGGACTTCCGTCTGCGACACGAGATTGGGAAGGTTCTACAGGCAATCGGCTTATTGCAGAGGCCATGGCATTCGACATTGGTCAAGAGCGTGTCCTGGGCACAACACAACGAGACTCCCTAAATCCTGAACAACGTGAGGCATTCAATCAAATCTTCAATTCCGTGCGCGATCGCCTAGGGAAGCGCTTCTTCCTTCATGGCCCGGGAGGCACAGGAAAGACATACCTGTACAGCACCCTATCTCACGTCCTGCGTGGAGATGCCGCCATCGTTCTATGCGTTGCTTCCTCAGGAATCGCCGCTCTCCTTCTACCCCATGGCCGCACGGCGCACTCGACGTTCAAGATTCCCGTGGAGCGCCTAACAGAGGACTCTACCTGCGCCATCCCAAAGGACAGCCTTCTAGCATCCCTCCTCCGTGTAACCTCCCTTATCGTCTGGGATGAGGCCACTATGCTCCACCGGTACGCTGCTGAGGCGCTCGATAAAAGCTGCCAGGATGTGTGCGACAATGACCGCCCATTCGGCGGGATCACATGATGAACTCTGAACCTGGAAGGCTGTAAGCCGCACAAAGAGAGGTCTTCAGTCTGTGAGAGAACGACT